GGTAGAAATCACTATTGTGGCCACTAAGTAAAACAACATTAAAAAATCTAAAGAAAAAAACAACTGCTGTCTTATCGAGGGGGGATGGTGAGCTAAATAACGTAATCAACCACGTGGCGTGGGATTCCATCATCCAACCTAAGGCAGGGGGAGGCTTAGGAATAATTGACCCAGCCACGCAAGTGCAAGCACTGCGCCTAAAATGGATTAAGAAGCTCATTTTTACCCCCCAGAGTCCATGGTGCGTGCTGGTTTTGGAACACATAGCCCGACTGGCCCCAGAAACCCCACAGTCCACTCACCCCTTGACTTGGCTGGAGGACCGTTTCTGGACAATCCCACAAAAGTTTCCCTGAGCAAGGGAAGGGCTGGACGGAGGCAACCGGATTTTGGACAGTTTTTGGCCCTCCCTTTTAAAAACCTGGCGAGGACTCCCGCTTCCAGACAGAACTCGCCCCGACCGCTGGGAGGAAGTCTAACGACAACCCTTGTTCGGAAACCGACGAGTGACTGACTTAAGCGGTTGTATCATGTCAAGCTCAGCCTTGCCCTGGAAGAGCTGGGTAAAGAGAGGGGTGCTCAGGGTCGGGGACCTTTGGGACGACGACAGAAAAGATTGGAAGACGGGAGACCAGATGCAAGAAACCCTGTGATACTGCCATCACGTGAAAGAGCACTTGGATGACCTGGTTGAAGTTATCACGCTGACATGGTATCAAACCCTTAAGCAAGGCCCTACATTAAAGGAAGGGGACTGGGTAGCCAGCAAGGAGTCTCCTCAAAAGATAGGGCAAATACACGTAGTGTCACCCCAGACTATCCTAGTTGAACATTACACAATCACTGGAACCAACACCCTCCAAGGTACCAAAGCCCCTCTTGAATGGCAAGAGGAAGCATCTGTGTATAGAGTGAGAGTCTTAGAAGAGAAATGGCAGAGGGTGGTGTTCCAGCCTTTCCAATCAGTTTAGGACCTGGCTCTGGACCCGACCGAGTGGTCTTGGGACCCCCCCCGGCAAAGGGGAGGCCCCAAAGCAGGCCGCATCAGCCTTCACCAGTTGTCAGTTAAATCTGCCTACAAAATGCTCACACCCAAGAGACGGTTGAGAGACGTTGTCAACGACAGATGGACCAGACACTTGAACGTGGATCGCTCCCTCCTGTCCCCAATCAAATGGTTCCAGGGACAGAAGGCAAGACCTATGAAAATTACCTCTCTTCAGTGGCAAATTGCCCACCGCTGTCTGCCAACCAATGACTGGCTGACTAACCGTACTAATTTAGAGCAAAAAGGTCTACTGCTCCCATGGTGCCAACAGTGTTAGAGCCTTTTTCCCTTCCACAAAAGGGGGGAAACCATCGAACACATCTTCATGCAATGCCCGATCGCCCAATTCATATGGAGGTGGTGGGACCGTATATGGCGAAAGATGGAACCGACATCTTCCTGGCCCTGGTCTTGGCAAGCCATATTGGCCGGCAACTGGCCACACGCAGAAGCAGCCACGACCTTCGTAGAGAACATGTTCAAACTCGGAAGGAGGGTTTAGAAAACATGTTCAAGGCATTTTGCACAGATGGCGGGACACCAAAACGATGGCGCGACAATGTCAGAAGACGGATCACAGCATTTTGCACAGATTGGGTGGGAGGGGAGAGAGAAGGATGGATTGCAAAAGTAGAATGGAGTGGAGACGGGGGGGAGGGACAGAGGGATTTGGAAGACATGAGAGACTATCGTTTAACCTTCAAGGACTGGATGAACATAGAATCCTCTTTCCCACTCCGCCCCTCTGCTGATTTTCCAGACCCCTTCCCACCCCACGCCCTTTCCCTGGCAGAGATCCCGTCCTGAAGGACATAACCTACCAACTTGTTCTCCTCACATCTCTTATTCATATTCCCCCCTGGAGCCCCCCAGGGATTTTCCTGTTTTATTACTTCCAGAAGAAGTGTCAGCGCGTATTGGGTCATCTGGCGCCCCCTTCTGGGGGGTGAAGAGATACGGAAGAGAAGGGCTACATCACTATGACTCTGGACACACACACCTGCTCAGTTAATCCCCTGGAGACAGGGCAATCAATGCTGGCAGGCCTCATAATCACACTTCTCAAATATCTCCCCTTTTTTTGATTGACTCTGTATATGGGACGCTGGACCCGGTTTCCAGCAGGTGATGCTCCCCACCAATAGATGGAGCCCCCACCTGGGTGCTAGTGGTGACTGCTCGTATCAGCAGCACTAGCACTGGCAGGAGGGATGTGTTTAAAAATAAAAAATAATAATAATAATAAATTTAAAAAAAAGAAGAAGAAGGGCTCTTGAGGTGCCGGCAGTGAGCAAGAATACTCGGAGATGATTCCTGTTTGTTAGTTTCATTTGTTGTTCCATTCACGGCCAAGCTATTCGAGCCCAGCCTGAAAAAAAGCGCACGCATGCCCAAAACAAAAGAACCTCCACGCAGGACTCCTTTTGGCTGGCGCCGCCAGCCATTTTGGTCTGGTACCCTGACCCCTGAAAGTTGTGGCCGTCCGCGTACGAGCCATGTTTTTTTTTTTTTTGGTCCGTTCCCTTGGCTGTGGTTTCGCAGGATGGGAGATAGGGACAGTGGGAATCTCGTGAATCCATTTTTTTTCCAACCGGGGAAAAGGTCCTGGTAGTTTAATTGGTTATTAAGAAGAGGGAGTAATGGACAAGAAGAAGTGCGGAGGAAGAAGCGAGGGTGAAGACATTTTTTTTTCTTTTCTTCTTTTTCTCTTTTTTTCAAAAGCGGGCAACGGTCCCACGAATCGATTTGGAGCGTCTTCTCCAAAAAAAAAAAAAAAAAAAAAAAAAAAAAAAAAAAAAGAAAGAAAGCGGGCAACGGCCTTGAGATGAGATCATTGAGCTTCCAGGCCCCAGGTAATTCAGAAGTTCATTTTTCTGTTCATCTGATTTCAGCTGGATTCGAACATGGGTCTGTATTTCAACACTTCATAGAGGTGTGCCGCGCTATAGGCCCATTGGTGACCACATTGGTTCCATATCTCCTTCTTCTTCTTCTCCTCCTTCTTCTTCTCCTTCTTCTTCTTCTTCTTCTTCTTCTTTCTTCTTTCTTCTTTCTTCTTTTAATCTCTCTCCATTCTATTCCGCTCTTCTTCCCTCTCCTCTTCTTCTTTTGAGTTTCAGGAGGTCTTGCACTTTCTTGCACTTTCTTGCACTTTCTTGCACTTTCTTGCACTTTCTTGCAATTTCTTGCAATTTTTTGCAATTTCTTGCAATTTCTTGCAATTTCTTGCAACGGCTTGAATGTAGGAGGATCATAATCATAACACCTCCACTGAGGATTGTTGTATTTTTCATTTTACTTTTTAGAAAATAGGGACAAATATTTTAGTAGCATTTGGTTATTCATTGTTTTCTGGGACATAGGGGGAAAAAAGCTTTCAGCAGCATTTGATTCTCCTTTTTTGCCTTTGTTTTGAGTTTTTAAGTCCCAAAAACCGTGTCACACCGTTGCGTTGAGCTACTGTAGTTCACCAGTGCATGTGGGACTTGGGCCCCGAGGACAGGTGGAACGAAGAGCCCAAATTCCCTTAGGAGCATTGCTGCTACTCTGTGTGTATGGTCATCTGAACTAGTACTACTACTACTAGTCTACTAGTCTTCTAGTATAGTAGTAGACTAGTAGTAGTAGTAGTACTAGAAGTGCTCTACTGATACTACGACCATCACTATCACCGCGGTAAGTGCGACTGCAGTCTTGCCCCCAACACAATGCAACCTCATTTATGAATGAATCGGACAGGAAAGATAGCTTGTATACATTCATCACGGGGGTGCAATTGCCACAGGGGTCTGCCTGCTCTTATCAGCCTCTCGGGTATGGTTCCGGGATGTTTAAAAAAAAAAAAAAAAAAAAAAGTACTGGGTAGTGTTACTGGAGTACTAGTTTCTTCCCCCCTGAACTAAACACACCCTCATCATTACTGTATCGGGCCAGAATCATAGCTTGTATACACTTGATTAGGGTGGGCTGTTATCGGGGGTAGACGGTAGTGCTACTACCGTCTACCGTCTTCAACCAAATAAAACGCCACCCCCATCATTGTCGCTGTATCTAGACTGAAACTTGGACGAAATACAGCGATAATGACGGGGCGTTCTATTCGGGTGAAAGCGGCAGTAACAGTAGCTGCATTTTCTTTTTTTTTTCTTTTTTTTTTTTCAAGTAATTCTTTCCCTGAATAGAACTTGCACCACATACACAGCTAGAATGACGGTACGTTCTATTTGGGGGAAAGAGGAGTAGTAGTGGTAGCAGTAGTAGCAGGTGCAGAGCAGTAGTACTAGGATCAGGAACAACAATATGAATAGAAATTTCTCGTATTAATTGAAATTGCGCTGGTACTGGTGGTAGTTGGAGCATGAAGGAGAGGGGTCACTTTTGATGCGATCATCGTGGCCGGTGCATACATTACGCAGACTCATTCATTCACGTTCGGGGAAAGCAAGGAAATTCCGACAGAGAGTGTGTGCATACATCGCATGTGTGTGTGTGTGTGCGTGCGTGTGTGTGTGTGTGTGTGTGTGTGTGTGTGTGTGTGTGTGTGTGTGTGTGTGTGTGTGTGTG